GTGAGTGTTGGGCATTTTGGGCGATTCTGAATTACTTGATTTTCGATAAGAATCGTCTAGCCATGGTCAACTTGCTCTTCGATTCGGTAAGGATGGTGTTTCAGACGCCCTTGGATGAAGATTCACCTGCTAACGCACAGCAGCACCCATCGTGGAGTGTCGGAGATGCTAGTCAGTTCAAAGTTCGGAGTGGTCCTGATTATATGAAAAACGGCCATAAAACCACAAGCGGTCCCCCTATGTGAGCACGGGGGGATGATACTGTATCGTGTACATGACTAGCCACAGTGCTGTATCCGGCAACTCCAGAATTTCTCGCCGACTTGTTAAGAACACAGTCGTTAACATCTGATCATTTTCTGAGGCTTAATTTCGGACGAGCTTGTTGAAAAATTAGGAATAATCTTCACATTCACACATGACATTTAGATTGGCTCATAGTTACTGTCGTGGTGGCGTAGGTATGATGGAGTTGGATGCGACATGTTCAGATCAGACGAGTGTAAAATTGATAACATACACGTACTATTCCCGGTTTGAAATATTTTCGAACTTGTGTGGTATCGTCAGGACGGAGTGCTCAGAGGACGATTGCCGGAACAGCGTAAAGATGAGTGGTCGAAGATCAAAAACCCGTGTTTGCCTCGGGTTGTTATCGTTAACGTTGAGGTATTTAATGGGTTATTTGGTCGAATGGTTTTTTTGTTGCACTCTCGACCTATCCATCCGGGTTCAATCCCCTCCTGACTCGTTTTAGATGCCGTATCAGGCAGGACCGAAGCTCTTTGGCCAGCATCCCCACAGCGACCACGGCTTTTCAGTGGCTGCGTACTTCACCATTAGCCCTGAGAATGCTCTGAGGTAGTTGTCGCTCTTAGAGGTTGCAAGTTCGAATCTTGGTGAGGACATTTTTCTTCCCTGGCACGTATATGGATCCCGAGACGGGTCAACTCACTGCTGACGCCCCACCACATTTAAAGCTGTTGACTGAGTTCTTCCGAATAGCTAATTTCCAAAAGTACCGCATGAACCCCTCTTCGTGAACTTTCCCATTGAAAACTCATTTTAGTGTCCCACAAGGCGCAGCTGCTAACGGCTCCTCCCATCTGTGCAAAGGTGAATCTGTTGAGGAAGACTGTGGAGGATGTTCATGCGTTCAGTGATCGGTATCTGCGAAAACCTCAAGGACTTGCATTTGCCGTCTCTTATACGCCCGTCCTTGATCGAGAAGTACAATGGCAAACCTGTGTTGATCACCAAGAGTGGCAGTGTAGGCTGATGATCACATCGGTGTTCGGTTAGGCTTGAACACTTTGCGTCAGATGCGTGTGGATCCGTCAGGCCGGTTTGAATGGGTTGAGATCGACATTGATGTAGGTTTCGTTTCCTATGATTATCGTGGACAACTTTGGTCGTAGGTGCGGAATTTTGTCTGGCTGGCTAAGAGCGTCATGCACCATATGCACTCAGCGATACCACAACTGAAGATCCATGTTGGCTTTGTTATACAGGTTTGGCATTAGCTCTTATGCTTTGGTCATTACTCGCTCGACTTAGGCCGTGGATGACTCCCAAATGAATGAAAACATGCTTGGGTCGATGCGGTTGCGGCATCTTGATGTCACCAAGGCTACTCCAATAACCGTGTGTAAACACAATGGGGATGGCGAGAGCACTGCTGCAACTTAATCTGTAATGTATTTTATGTATTGTTCTTGTGGAGTACACGAGGATGCTTCTGATGATTGTTATGTCTTTCGTCATTCTCCTATTGAGGTTGTGTATATTCATATCAGGGGATAAGACAAAGGCTTAAGGTATGACGAAGATAAATTTTGAATAGCTTTACTCGCTGCTTCGGCCGCTATGACGGCACACCATACTTTTATCCTTACCGCACCATTCTCATTGTTGATTGAAACATATACAGTCAGCGAGTACTCTACTACTCCTATCAATATTGTCCATTTGAGAAACATCTCTGTTGAGTGTAGTAGACGCATAAGGGACGACTCGATAAAAGTCAGGTGAGTAACAATGAGACAGTATTGATGGGCAATTTGGATGTCCTAAGGATGCTTTTAAGGAAGGAACTGCAGTCAACACAGATTCTATCAGGGCTAGTGATTGGAAAGAGCGTGGTACGGCATGCGGTTTTCACTTGTATCGAGCTCCGACGTGCCCAGAGCGGTCGATAACAATAGTGTCGACATTCACTTCAACTGCTCCATTGCTTCCACCTCTCACGAATCGATCACCTGAACAATATCGGTATACCGATTTTGAGAAGAGAAACGACTGCAGCGGAACGTCATGGATGGTATCACAATGACTCAGTGTGATGCATACGTGAACTCGATACGAGGGAGATGGAGAGCGGATGTCACATCGGAGGGGTGTCATACACATGACTGTGAATGTTGCACGCATACACAGTCATGTGTTGAATGGACACGTCAAAGAAAGATGATTGATAATCATTCACTGTGCTGAATGATGAGGGACAACTACTCTTGAATAGACGAACCTTTGAGTGGTAGTTCTTTATGGCTTGAGATAATGCCTCCCTGTTGTTGTCCTCGAATATCATATGCAATCAAGGCTCGACAAAGGAGGGGATCGAATGTCCCACACCAGAGATCCTTCTCGGGTTGAGAGGAAGGCGGCTTCCACAATGGGACTTCAGCTTCGATACGCCCGGCTGTCTGTGCAAGAATCAAACCAACTTCCATCAGTGATGTTCACCTGCGGTAGCTCTAGAAAGCCGTAACCTTCGTGTTTCTGACGACCCCATACATCCTCTGATATCGACTCTAACAGAAGCTTCGGTGCTGGAGATTGACCAGTCGCTGCTGCCGACGAGCGGTGATAGGAAGTCTGTAATAGCTCGTTGAAGACGAAGACGCCCGTATTTCCTGTCTCGGTAGCCCCCTGGGAAGTTTGAGTAGGAGTGAGTGCCAAACAGCTCGGCTCCATTGCGGGCGGCAGATCCTCAGCGGAGGCGGCGTTCATCAAAGTCCAACTGCTGTCTTTTGGGAGGGCAACCTTGAAGGAGTTTTCAGGGCTACATGAACAACTAAGTGTGTATCGTTTCGTTCCTTAACATGATACATACTCGGATGTATCCACATAGGAAGTAGTCGTGACACGGAACGCTTGAATAGCCAAAGGCACCAACACGTACAGGAGGCTCCTGTACGAAGGTCGACCACCTTCGTTTCACCTGTCGCTTTCCTAGGTCGACAGCTCAGCTGTGATTCGAATTTCAACGAGCAAGGGTGAAATGAGCTCAGCGACAAGAAAAGTACCATCTCACCTGGTAGATGACAAATAGCGTTTCTCCCATAACGCGCCGTAACAAACTACTTGATGACGGTATCAGCGGCCACCAATCACACTGCCGCCTTCTGAATGCAGCTATTTCTACGAGGTTCGTCACTCCAATGGCCGAATCATCAGGCGGAAAGGCGATCCTCATCCCAGCACGTCGTCGTGATGATGACCGAGCCTGCACCTCTG